ATCAAGTCCCCCTCCCTCGTCAGCCCAAAAAGCAATCAGGGTTCTCTGCCCTGTGGGAAGTCCAAGGACCACCCACCTCCATCCAGGTCTAGTAAGGTGAGCATCCACGAAACTGCCTAGGCTCCCACGAAACCCATAGGTCCAGTAGAATCAAAAACCCGTTGCCATTGTTCTTGAGGTCTCAGTAGTCCTCATTGTCCACTATGTTCAGCGAGACCGGTTTTGACCCATACTTCTTCAGTTCTTATCCTGTCACATACACCCAAACCGCCCCAATACAGTTGGCTGTCAGATTCCCACAATAGTGTCCAGACTTTAATTATGTTATATATTGCTTGTGCGACTATTGTGTCATCCTGTTTTCACAATGTTAGAAAACCCATTATAGAATGTGACTATATTAGAAATAATTTTTTTTTAATAATTGTCTTTACTCATCTATTTCCCGAATTTCCTTAAGTCTCCTTATGTCCAGGAAAGCACACTCTGTCCAGTAGAAACACAAACTGTACTTTGTGTTTTAGGGTCTGTTAACACTCTGGGATGTAGCTCTGGACTTCTCCCAGGAGGAGTGGGAATGCCTGGATTCTGCTCAGAGGACTTTGTACATTGATGTGATGTTGGAGAATTACAGCAACCTGGTCTATGTAGGTGAGAACATTTTGCTTGTACAACTCCTAACTCAGGCTTTGTATGTACTTACTTTATAGGTTGTGAACTCTCTGTTAGGCTGTCTTGAAAACAACAGGAGACTAGGGAATGTTTGGTAATAGAAAAGATCTTTATCTTGGTATTTGTTGTTTTTTTCTATTTCTTCTCCATTTTATAGGTGTCATACACCCTTCATTTCAGTTCCATGAGACATTCAGAAACTCATTAGCATATAATATTTCTACTCACATCTTAAAACTCGGTGTCTGCATTACATTTGACATTGTTTTAGTTGCAAGAAAAGTTCAAGATATATAAACTGAAAAATTTCCCTACATATGCTGAAGATTCTGACAGTAAATGCCAATTGGGAAATGGTTCCTATATTTCGCTACTGTGTTCTCTTCATGTACTGGCCACAGTACTGTGTTAAACACCTGTATTCTTTCTAAAAGTTCTAGCGTGTTTCATGGATTGCCTCACAGATCATGTATGCAAGGTAGGCCTGGTCAGCCTTCTGGAAAAAATCAGATTACTCTGTCATGTGGAGAGAAGAGAATAGCAGTGACTAGGGTAAGCTACCGAGTGAGCAGAACAACAGCAATGACTTCAAGTGAAAGAGTAAGAAAGAACTGAGAATGCTTTTGCAATATTCAATTCCACTGGAAAAGTATTACTGATAATTGAACTTAGTATATATAGTAACCTGGATGCATCCTACCTATTGTAATTATTAGAAGATGTGTCTTATACACCTGAATTATGGTGACTTAATACTAGTACAAAATACAATTTTATTTGATGATAGTAGATTGGAATAATTTTATAAAATTCTACATCTAATGTGAGTCCATCCATGAATTAGGATTATTCTGTAATTGCCTTCCTTGCATGTATGTCAATCATGGATAGAAATAAGCCCTGGCTTCCCAAGTGATCTATAACAGTGAGTGGCTCTCAACCTTGGTACCGTAACAACCCATTAATAGAGTTCCTTGTGTTTTGTTGACTCCCTACCATAAAATTATTTTTGTTACTAATGCTTGACTGTAACTTTGCTACTAAGCAATGTCTTAGTTTCTAAGACCATCAGAAATAATGTATTTTCAGACAGTCATGACCCACAGGTTGAGCACTGCTGATCTAGAAACTATATTATCTGGCAGAATACTTGCTTTGCATATATTACTTTTGAAGAATCTAATGTGCTTTTTAGGAAAAAAATAAACCCTTTGATGCTTTTCAATAAGCCGTTAAAAGGAATTGGGTATTCTGAACTATAATCTTTAGCTATACATTGATAGGTAAACACTGTGAATTTAGGATTGGAATAAACTCCATTTCATCAATTTCTGAGAAAAAATACTTAAAAATAGAGACATATATTCTAAATATATGTCAGTAAGCTCTAGCCTAAAGCAAATTACTGATTTCTTAATTACCTGTTTCAGCTTCCTTGAAGGCTATCACTCTGTATTTGTGAGGATCCATAAATTACAGTGATGAAGAAAGTGGACTACTAGGAACTCTAAATAGTTGCTGGTTCGCTTATCTTAAGAGAACATAGGAAGACAATTATTTATCAAGTGGTTTAATCTTGGAATAAGTCCTATTAATCTGAACTGTACTTATTTTCAGAGAACTATTGCATATGTGATCCTGGCCATCAACATGTGAAGAATGAAAAGCAGTGTTGTCAGTGTAATGAGCTTGGCAAAGTGCTTCATGACCCCTCCACGTGTGCACTTTATAGAACAAATGAAACTACAGAACACTCTAATAACTACAGATGCAATAATCACAGGGATGCCTCTATTGACTCATCAAACCCAGATAGACATGACAGCATGCACACTGGAGAAGAACCTTGCAAATCTAAAGACTGTGAGAGATCATTAAATTTGTGTCCCAACATTACTCAAGATCAGAGAGTCCACAATGCAAAGAAAGAGCACAGGCTGGGAAAATGTGATGACTCTTTTGCATCTGCATATAGTCTTTTGCAACAACCAATCTGTATTGGAGAAAAACCACACCAATGTGACAAATGTGGGAAATACTTTAGTACTGCCTCAAGTCTTACTGAACATCAGAGAATTCATACTGGAGAGAAGCCTTACAAATGTCAGGAATGTGACAAATCCTTCACTGTGAAGTCAACTCTTACAAAGCATCAAAGAATTCATACTGGAGAGAAACCCTACAAGTGCAACGTTTGTGAAAAATCCTTTACTCAGTACTCAAGTCTTAAAACTCATCAAAGACTCCATACTGGAGAGAAGCCGTACAGATGCAATGACTGTGACAGATCCTTTACCCACTATTCATCATTTAGAAGACATCAGAAAACTCATTCTCTAGAGGAACTGTACAAATGTAAAGAGTGTGGTAAGTCCTTTCTTGAATCATCACATCTTAAAAGGCATTACAGAATCCATACTGGTGAGAAGCCTTACAAATGTGAGGTCTGTGACAAATCTTTTAATATGTCCTCAAATCTTAGAAATCATCAGAAAATTCATACTGGAGATAAACTTTACAAATGTAGGCAATGTAGCAAATCCTTTAGCCTGGATTCTTATCTTAGAATACATCAGAGAATTCATACTGGAGAGAGACCTTACAGATGCAGAGAATGTGGAAAATCATTTCATCAGTTGTCAGCACTTAAACGCCATCAGAAAATGCATACTGGAGAGAAACCTTACAATTGTACAGAATGTGGCAAATCCTTTACCCAGGATTCACATCTTAGAACACATCAGAGAGTCCATACTGTAGAGAGACCTTACATATGTATTGAATGTGACAAATCTTTTACTGAGTGCTCAACTCTTAGGCAACATCAGAAAATTCATACTGGAGAGAAACCTTACAAATGTATGGAATGTGACAAATCTTTTTCCCGTAACTCACATCTTATAATACATCAGAAATTTCATACTTGTTATATTTCTTACAAATGCAAAGAATGTGACATGTCCTTTATTCAGATTTTGAATCTTAGAAGACACCAAAAAATTCACTCTGTTGAGAAAAATACCATTGCAAATAATGTGACATAGCGTTATCTGAAATTCACAACAATAGAAACAAGGATAAGAAACTTGTGAATGCCTTAAATCTTAAGAAATTTCACAGGATTTATATGAAAATAAAATTCTGCAAAGTAACTGGAAAAGGTTTTGTTGTTTTGCTTTTTCCCCCCCTTTGGGGTGTGTGTGTGATTGCACTGTATGTGAATATTTCTGTGCGCTACATATACCTGGTGTCTGGAGAGGTCAGAAATAGTCATCAGATTTCCCTAAAGGTGGATTTAAAAAAATAAATGCATGTTTGGAATTGAACAAGGGCCCTCTGGAAGAGTAGCCAGTATTCTTAATCACTAATCCATATCTCCAGCCCCTTCCAAAAGCTTCACTAAAAACAATGTGTTCAACATCTAATGATTCATAGTAATGATGAGTGTGGTGGCACAGACCTTTAATCTCAGCTCTTAGGAGGCAAAGCCGGGAGGATCTCCATGAGTTGAGGCTATCCTGGTCTACATAGTGAGTTCACAGACAGCCAGAACTACATAAACACTGTCTGAACAACAAAAAATCATGGGGACAAAAATGTTGTAACATAGGTATGTGATAAACATCACAAAATTTATAGTTCTGGGAAACCATATATAATCCCCATGTGTGGCTGTTCATTGTTCATTGGAAATTCCACCCCTGAAATGCATTCAGTTTGCTAAATTCTTTCCCCGGTGCTGAAATTGCCCACATAAAAGCAAATTCACCATGAAAGAATACAAGAAAATGCTCTCCTAAAGTAAAAAAGAGAAGTTAAGTATTCACTCTATTCGAAAACAATATAACTGCCTTTAACAGCTACTGGACCTTCATGGAGTGAAAGGAGAGTCAGATGAGACCACCCCTCCTCACCACTCGGCCATGATGAAATGATAATTGTCCCAATCTTACACAGTTAACTGTTCTTGGTACTTTTGAGGCAGTTTAAGTCTGTGCGTTACCCACTACTAACTGCAAAGGAGGCCTCTTGCACCAAGGTTGAAAGTAGTGAAAATTGATAATTATAGACATGAATATTTAGAGAGCAGTAACTGCATGATCATTAACAAAACATCAATTTATTCTCCAAGCCATGTTTGCTTTTACCATGTTTTTATACTACAGCTCATGAGTTCCCTTCTATGAAGCAAGCCTCAAATTCAATCAAGGGAGAAGTTGGTTATGCCTGTAGGCAGTGGTGCCAGTATTGCACCAGTGTACACACATCCTTGCTTGTAGGTTGATAATATTGGATGCAGGGTCCAGAATAAGTGAGGCCATTGATGTGTTTTCTCTGATAGCAGCCATCACAGGACCTTGCAGTGTTACAAAAGCTTGCTAGCAAGGAGAGTTCCCTCATAAGTCCAAGATTGCATTCTCTCTATCTTGGAACCAAAATGTTTAGTGTCTTCAACAACAAAATGGTCAGGCAAGAGCACAAGCAATGATATGCTTTGTTTGGGATGTCTCTGGGGCCTACTAGGCAGAGAACTATTAACTGGTAATGAGAATTCCATTTAATAGCCCTGGTGTCTGTGAGTAGCATTATTTGTCCGTGTAGGATACCTCTGTTCAAAATTTTTTGCATTGCATTTCCTATGAACTTGGAAGACAATGAATGGTATTTCATAAGGCTTCTTCATACACTCCTCCTCTTCCTTCTTCCTGTCCATGCCGTGTTAAACATTTAGTATATGGTAGCCAGTGCTCATTCCTTAATAACACACGTGTTCTACAAAGTCATTTAATGTTACTTGAATGAATGTTTTCAAGGCCGACTATTTGATATTGGATAACCAATTAGCATGCTCTTCCCTTGAGACTATTTCTCCTGCTCCCAGTATTCCTCAGTTATCTGTAGTTCTCTGTGCAGAGTTGAGGTTTGTGGGCTTTTCCCTATGCATTTTTGTATGTCCATTGTTTCTGTCCTTTCTCAGCTTCATTTTAGTGGTCATGTAGGTAAGATTTTTATGGAAGTAGCATCTTGCATTATTAGGAGACACAATCTCACATCAAACTTCTGAACCTGTAGTTGTTAAAATCTTTCTGCCTGCATTTTCATTAGTTAGGGTTGATTTTTTTTTTTTGTAGTGGTCTGTGTTGCAAAGAAAAGCTTCCTGAATGAGAAGTGATAACCTGACTGTAGTCTAGTGTGAGGTCAGTGCAGGTAAGCACAGTTGCTGTTGGTTACTGATTTCAACTCCTGTATGGAGTCTAGAGAAATGCCATGTCTTAACCCTTCCTCCCCTTTCCCTTCTCATTTCCTTTCTGCCTCCTCTTTTTCAGTGTTCCCAGAACCTTAGATGAGGTGGTGTAACTGACATTGTTAGGCCTGTGACCACAACCTTACTTATTTTCTGCCACTGAACATTGCTTTAAGTGTTTTACCATCATTTGAGTTTCCTCTTTTGAGATTTCTGTTTAGATCTGTACTCCATTTTAAGAGATTTTGCTTTTGTTTGTTTTTACTTTTTTTGTATCTATTTTTTTTAGTTCTTTATATTTTGTGAATATTAGCCCTCTATTGGGTGTAGAGTTGTGAAGCACAATTAATAAAAACTGAGGATCCGAAATTGGGGTTCAACCTGAAAATCTGAAAAGCAAAACAGCCAGCCCACTTGCTGTTACTTTGACCTCAGTCCAAAAATGGTGATCCTGCCTCCAGGAATCTGAGGAGACTGTCCGTGAGAGCTGTCTTCCCTTGTCTTATATTCCTCTTTAGGGCTGGGATTAAAGGCATGCACCTCTGGGATTAAAAGCATGCACCATCTGGTTTCTATGGCAACTAGTGTGGCTACTGGGATTAAAGGCATGTGTTACCATAATCTGGTCTGTAGGGTTAACCAGTGGGACAGTTTCACTCTCAGATCTTCAGGCAGTCTTTATTAAAATACAATTTAAATGCCACTACAGAGTTGGTGAAAATCGTAGCTTATTTTATAGGCTGTCATTTTGTCAGAATGATGGAGTCCTTTGCTGTGCAGAAGCTTCTCATTTTATGAGGCCACAGTTATTGTTGATCTTAGTGCATGTGCTAACAGTGTTCTGTTCAGAACGTTTTCCTTTTCCAGTGAGCTCAAGGTTATGCCCCATATTCTCTTCTATCAGGTTTTATGTTGATCCATTTGGAGTTGACTTTTGTGTAGTATGATAAGTATGGATGTATGTGTATTAATAACTGACTGACCTTCTTAATTAAAGAACTTGCATAAAGCATTAGGAGAAAGACAACACAGTAGGAAAATTAGAATTTTTTTTGATGAAGCTCTTTAGTCAGTAGAATGTTGTACTAGCCTGTGAAAGAGGGCCTGCTGTTGAATGTCAGTCAGGGAAGGACAGAGCTAAGGGGCTGGACACATATCAAAGTGACATGAAGGAGACCTGTTACTGTTGGGGCAGAGCTTCTGTCATTGTGGGGTCCGTTCCATGACTGAATGTGGGTTGTCACCCCGATGCTGTTTACTCTAGGTCTCCCTATCAAAATTCCCCCTGTATCATTGCTGCCTAAGAGATACCTAGTACAGACCCAGATGAAGAGCACTGTGGGAATTTGATGAGCAAATAGGTAGGGAGAGAAAGATGGATGAACAACAGGGTAGAGGTAAAGGAGGGTGGAAGAAAGGATGTGATGAAGGGATGAGTGAGGAAGAGGGGAAGAAGGGAGGAGGGAGATAGATTTATTTATAGGTAGTGGGAATGCGGGAGGTAGGGCCTGTGTGTAAGCATTCTTCCAAATGGGAGAATTTCTACAATAAATTTCATCTTCCGGTAAGTGCCGTGTGCATGTTCTCTCAGACTCAGTTTCCACATGGGTGCCTACTTTGCAGTGAGATGAACACACTGTTTCCGTCCTTCTTCATGTTCCTCCTGGGTCTCAACCCAAGCCGTCTCCCCCAAAATACCTGCTCCTTCAGTCAATCGTAGTACCAGTTCTTATCCACTTGCTGCCATAGACCTCCAGCCTTTTTATTGGTGTGACATGCAAAAACGTTGGTATCATTCTTGGAACCTCAAATTGTGTGTCTTCTTCTTGTTACGAACTCCCAAGGGTTAAAGCCGTATCATGTTTTAGTCTTAAACTTCGAGTTTCCTCTTTTCTTTCTTTCTTTCTTTCTTTCTTTCTTTCTTTCTTTCTTTCTTTCTTTCTTTTCTTTTTTGCAAATGGATCTAATCTTTAGTCAGACTTCTGTTGTTTATCATTTTTTTCTTCAGGATGTGCTATGTATTTAGGAATACACACACACACATAATAACCATCCATTCATGCAAAAAACTGGCTGTGAATTTAACAGAAACAAAGAATGGTTTTGTGGAAGATTAGGAAAGAGGAAATACAGGAAGAGGGAAATTGTGTTATAATCTGAAAAAATACATAATAATTTTTAAAAACTTATTTATTAAGGACTTAAAGTATAATAGACATTTTGAAATTGTATACTTCTAAAAAATCTTTCTTATTAGGACTCATGAGGTCTCACAATCAGATTGTTTTGGTATTTTGACCATTTTTATTTAACATAATCTCTTTATTGGTTGAGAATTTCACATCATTCCCGAAGGTCACTGTGGTCCTCATGTCTCTGTGTCCTCCAATCCTAGAGTGACAGATACATGCCACTAAGCCTAGCTTTTTTAAGGGTGTAGAGATTTTCTGAACTCAGGGACTCGAGCTTGTACACCCTGATCATCTTTCTAGACTGCATCTTTTTTGTGTAGATTCCTCTAGCCTATGATATGAATTGATTTGTACCACCATGTTGATTGGTAATAGGCCATCAGTGGCTCGCCTGGTGGGTCTTTGAGTGATTTCCTAGTTGGGGAAGAAGCATTGCTTAGCAGAGACTTGAATTTGTCTTTGATGCATCAATGAACACTTTGCTTTTCGTGTTCTCCTTCATAAAGACTCATGGATATAATAGTTAAAAGACATTCAGTGCATGTGTGTGTGCCTGTGTGTCTTTGGTAGTAGATCTAGCAACCATTACACACTGGTTAAGAGATGTGATTCTCACCTGAAATTGACCTAACCCATTTTTTATCCATTTATTATGTATTGGAATGTTACAATGAAATTGTTATGAGCAATATACAGTAACAAATGTTCTAA